TGCTAAATCCTCCAAACTGTTACAGGATGTGTATTTTGTAAAATGTGTAACTTTTTTGAATTGAATTACAGCAAACATGTGCAATATATCCATTATTACAGCTCCGTGGGCTCACTGGCAGTAAGGCGATATGGTCCGTTCTTATTGTGCATCCATGGGTAAAGGTAAAAAGCATGTAGTACTGAACACGTAACATGAACGTGCCGGGCGGCGCAGTCCCGTGGGTTGGATGCGCGTTCATAATGCTGAGGAAATAACTCTCAGAATAATGTTATTAGCACATTTTACAACTTGAGGACCGAATGTTTTTAATAAGGGCTATACAAACGTTCATACTGGGTAGTTTAAAAAAATTATCCAACGATTTACAGACCACTCTTTCCCCATGTAAGTCAATGGGAAAAAGTGTTTCCGGGCCCAGCAACCTAACGGAGGTGTAGTACCGCCGTTTGGCCACAACGATTATTCTCATCAGAGTCCGGCGCACTTCCTGGGGGCTTGAGTGAGACCTACAGTACAGAGACGGTTTAGAAAATATATTAATTTGACCCTATAGAAAAGCTGTATTATTTATGGCGAAGAGTGAGTATCATTTAAAACAATGTATGATGAGTGAGGTTGTGCCCGAAAAAAAATAAAAATAAAAATAATAATTTTTTTTTTTTTTCATCTTGTCACTGAGGGCCCTCTTTGCTCAAGGGCCCCTGGGCACTTGCTCAGGTTGCCCATATGGTTAATCCAGCCTTGCAAATAACCTTTGAATGTGACATCACAAACAAATATTCTTCCTCCCATTCTGGGTGGAAGTGTTATGTTTTTAGCTTTTTGCTCGGTCCCGCACTCATTTTGTTGTTTGTCTCTTTAACTTAATTTGAGTTTTCCCGGCACTTGACTGATTTTGTATCGCTTTGCATTCTGGGTTAACAGACTGGAAAGTGATAGGTCGCTTTTTCTGTCAATCAAGTCAACTCCTGAATTAAGTGGCAGGGAGGCCAAGGGAGGAGGGATCAAAACCTGTTTTGTCTATTTCAACAGAGCTGGATTTTTAATTTTTTTATGAATGACTCGCGATCTACCAGCATTTCCCCCGCGGTCGTGGTCGACGTACTGGGCACCTCTGGTTTAATGTATCAGTAGCTTAACAAAGTAAATAGAGCTCCGGAATTTTTTTTTCTCATACAAACAAAGTGAAGGTGCAGGTCAGGATCTCATACACTGGGAATTGAACCTCAAAAAAACATGCTGACCCCTGCTCAACACTACAGAAAGACTGAAATGTCACCCAGTGGCCCATAGAAAAGTTCAACTTATACATATTCTATAAATGTCCTCATGTATAATATACGGGAAGGACAACCTGGTGGCAACTAAGTTTGACTAGTTTTGTTGCCTTCGTGAAAATGGAGCCCAGTTCTTTTACACAAAAATTCGGCTGCCTAAAAGTACATTTTTTTAAAGTTGAGCATTGTGGTCAGCAGATCGATGAATCACTGCAATATAATATTAAATGGAAAAAGAAGAATGGGATCACATAGTGCAGGACATTGTTTTTGAAAAAAGACTACACAAAAGTTGGACGCAGCAGCAGAAGTTGTGCTGCAAATGCTTTTAGTATTGTCTGATTTCCTGCCATAGCCTGATTACCCAGAACAACCTGTTTTTCTTCTTTGTGTAAGATTGTGAGCGAGGAGATGGAGGGTTGAACCTCTTTTTTCAGCAGCTCTACAGCAGCTGTTCCTGGAGCAGTATATGCTTTATTTTTGACTTTTTTCGCCCACATTCCCTCAGTTCTGGATGGAACTCCCAAGTTTCCAGAATGAAACCTTTTTTTCTCTCACCATTAGGCTACAGCGGATGCATCTCTGTGAAGTGTGACAACTTTGTTTCATTTTGACAGATGGTGATGCAATAGATGTTTCCTACAGTTCAGAGAGCTTCAGAGTAAGGTTTTTAACTGAAGCAGTCAGTCTCATTTTCTAGTCTTACAGCACTTTTCAGCAATCAGTCTGCACATACAACAGCACTTCTGAACAGCTGTTTGAAGATTGACGTGCTGTCTCGGGGAGAAATTGCTGCATTTTTTTGCTCTGCTAGACCATGGCTTTCCTTACTGAGCCACTCGCAGGAACAGCAGGTGATGTCACTGTTAGCATTTATAGGGCTTTGATCATTTCATACACACATACACACCTCTCCACCCCCAACCCTGGTAAAATATTTTCATTGGCATTGATTTGGGATGTAAAACGATGCCTGAAAAGATAAGCTGTGTTGGTGAAGAGAAGGGAAATGAAACAAGCTACTAATGCTGCTATTTTCTTCCGAGCTCATTGAATGGCTTAGGTGGTAGCTGATGCAATACAATCTAGTTCAATGACATCACTGCTGTCACTCAACTGCGGGGTATTTTTTGACAAAGTTTTTTGGAAGTTACACTGGATGTCTAGGCCTTAATTAAGTGATAAAGAGCACCATAAAACAATCCATTTATCTAGAACAATATACAACTCTTATCTTTTAAGAAACACCGTATACATGTCATGCTGATGGAAACATAACTTGTGTCCCTACCTGCTGTAAGATTATACCTAAGATTCTT